CTTGCAAGGTTTCAATTATCAAAATTTTTACGTCCTACACGTATTTAGTATACTTGTATTGTTTTTATCTAAATTTTATCGGCCTCGTCTTAACGTGAAATTTCTATTAACATTTAACGTTATTATCTATTTGGAGTTAATTATTGGAATCCAAGTAATTTATTTTAAAGTAGTAAAATTAATCTGCTCAGGTAGTATTAATTTAACATAATGGAGACTAAGTATTTTAATATTTTATGTTGGGGTGCTAAAATTATTCTAACTCTAAAGGTGTTAATTTAGTTTAGCAAAACAAAAGAAATTTCGTAACTTAGAAAATTATATTATTTTTCACATGAAAATTGTTTTATGCACTTATTTACAAACAAGTGAAAGTAATGCTAAAATTTATTAGAGAATTAGAAATGCAAATGAAATATGCAATGTTATTTGTATATATATTTTCAGGGTTCTCACAAACCTAGCTACGGTTGAAATTTTTTTTTCTTTTTTTTTGTTTTTTTTTAAAAAAAAAAATTTTTTTACATTTTTTTTTTGCAAATGTTATTTTCGAAATTCAAAATTAGAGATTAACCGAAAATCAATAACCGTTCTTGAGTTTTTTTTTTGAATACTTCCCTTTCCCGCGAATGTGACGTGGGCACGTCATGAAGGCACGGAATCTGGAGCTCTCCATATGACATGACGCGGGCACGTCATGAGGGCAGAAATCCCTTTTGACGATTCTGACCGTGAGCTTTCCAGACGTCATGACGCGGGCGCGTCATGACAGAAAGACACCTACAAATCATAAAAAACGAAAATTGAAACCCGAAATCAGTCAAATTCAAGGAAAACATATTTAAACTATCACACGAAATCAAAACAAACAATTAAAAGGAATAATTGGGTTGCCTACTAATGAGCGCCTTTCTTTAATGTCTTTGACTAAACATTATCATGTTTTGCTCATGGAGGATAAAATCTTGTGGCTCGTTTCAATGTTTCATCTTCAATGTGATCCTGGTAACCCTCATAGATGGAGTAATCTTGAACACACGAGTTACGGTCTTCCATGGACTAGTTGATGGCGCCAAATAATCAAGCAGTGATCTCAATTCTTCATCCACTCCTCCATCAAGAGCACTCAACGATTTAAAATATTTGATCATAGCTACTCTTAACTTATTTCTGCCATGAGACTCAAAAACTTCCGGTATAACAAAATCAATCTTATTAACAGAAATCATGGAGTAAGAGTTAAGAAAATGCGGGTTAGGGAATGGAGGTGGTGTCACCATATTTGATGATTCTTCACTGGATTCTTTCACTTGAATGGGTTGCGGTTGGAGTTCCATTTCTTCCTTTTCGCCTTCTTTTTCAACTGCATCTGTAGATTTCTCATTTTGACACTCTTGCATCTCCTCATCACTAGTCAAGCAAACTGCACTCTAATTTTCTTCTAGATCAACAATGGTTTTCGAGGGCAATTCTTCTATTTGAGAAGCCAATCGATTTATTCTGGATGTCAATAGACATAGTTGATCTGCCAGATAACTCATTGCATCCTTCATCATCTCATTCCTCATTTGTGTCTCCTGTTGGAATTGGTATGTATTAGTAGCTATTGATTCAACTATTTCTTCAAGAGACATACCTGACATAGATGACGATTCTTGAGACTCATACTGCTGAAAATTCATTGGCCCCGTTGTATAATTATAATTGGAGTTATCCCACCATCCTTGATCATACCCGTTTGGATTAGGGTTATACCACGTTTGAGACCAGGGTGAAAAATCTCCATAATTATTGAATGGGACACTCAGATTATCTTGATATTCGGGGCACATACCGATTGAATGATCCCTGGCATAATAAATTTTACAGGTTGCAGCAGCCATTCTTTCTCTAATAGAGTTTAGTGTCTTTGCATATGCAAACTCAGGAAAAAAACAAGCCTCATTGCCTTCCCTGGAAACAAAATCCAGTCTATCACCAGAATACGGAGTGTTAGAAGCCATAAACTATATAAAAAAAATAAGAGAAAAATAAATAAATAAATAAAAACAAGATGAACTCAAAAAGAAACAAATTAATTTGGCACCAGTCCCGGCAACGACGCCAAAAATTGACAGGGTGTCGAAACCTGTGCAATAATAAAACCTGCTCAAACTAAAAATAATTTCTGTAGATAGTGGTAAGTAGGGTCGAATCCACAGGGACTAGGAGTAATTGTTTCTTTTCAAGTTCACAGTAACAAAGGGGGTGTTTTTGTGCAGACGGTGACAATAAAAGAAGTTCAAATAAAATCTAAGAAACTACTAAAAATTAAATAACAAATTACTAAAATCAAATGAGTGATAATTAAGGATTTAGCCAAGGAATAATTTCAGCAATGGTTCACCTAATTGATCATCGATACAAAGCCAATTACAATTATTTACCAATAAATAGGTTATAACTGTCAAACAAGCGATGACAGTCAACCCCTCCTTACTGTGTCGGTGATTAAGGTACGTCCGTTAATCACTGCTCTAATTGAGAAATAATCCTAGGTACGCCCGTATGATTTAACTTCCCAATTGCCTTACGTATTAAAGGAACCCTATTCTAATCAAATAACGCACTATCAGAGTTATTTCAGATTAGCCCGTGTATCCCCCTGACACGAATCCAATCATGTCAGTTATCACTATTTTGAGACAATTAAACAATTACGGATTTAACGTCCCAATTGATAATAGATTATCAAATTAACTAATTATCCGGATCCAAAACAATCAATTAATTAAACAATCATAAGCACTGTAATCAGGAATATGCGAATATCAATAAATAAAAGTAAAAGATAAAATTAAATCGATCTCATAATTTTTAGACAATCTAAAACATCCATCGTTTCTTGACTAGAATGGAAAAATTAGTTCATATTGAATGCTAAAAACCCACACGCAATTGAAGAGAAAGCAGCTGTCATCGTCCTTGAGATTTGGGCAATTCAAATCGTCCAAGTGTTGACTAGATCGTAAGCCACAGGAAGTAATTGATAGCTTTTTCTTTGTCTGACATAAATGGGTAGAGAAGCTACCCAAAATTCCTAAGAGAAGAAAAGTCAAAATCCTAAGCTAAAACTAAAGAAACGGAAAAACTAAGAGGACAAGCCAGAGCCTCCTTCCTCTGCTATTCTTTTGGTTTTTATCCTCTGCCTCCTCCCAGATGTGCGGCGGCTCTTAGGTGAAAGAAACCCTTCGTCCGTCATTCCTCTGCAGAAATTATCGAAATGGGCGTGATATCTTCTTTTTCAAAAATGCCCTTGGGGCAAGCTCTATCACTTGGGCTCCCTTTCTGCTAAATTGGTACTTATTATCATAATTTCGTTCTACTCCCTGAAATGAATGCAAAATACTAAAAAGTAAGTAAAACATAGCAATTAATCCACATCAGGTCAGGTAATAAGAGAAATTAATAATAAAAATAAATGATAAAATTGCAACCTATCACATCAAATCTCTCAATCCAAACGCAGTCAAGGGTTTTCTATTTGGTGCAAATGAGGCCCCATCAAATCTCTCGATCCAAACGCAGTCAAGGGTTTTCTATTTGGTGCAAATGAGGCCCCAGCACCTGGTGGTAGTAATAATTTTGCAGATGAACTATTCATGAAATCAAAAGCTCCATGCACCATTCAGCGGGTACCCCATTCACAAATGCAGAACTAGCATAATAAGCCATATGTAGATTAGTTCCTCATGCATTTTCAGAAATCATAACCAAGGAAAAAATTTAAATACAGTTAATATTTATAAAAATTAATTTTTTATGCACTTACACTGTAATAATTTTTTTACACTAACAATTTTTTTTACACTGTAATAATTTTTTTACACTAACAATCTTAGATGTATGTCTCATGTGCATGATTCGAATTCAACTTTGAATTCATATCATATAGCATGAACTAAACCTGTTTGTGTAAAAGAAAAACAAAAATCTTTACACTAACAATGTATAAAAGGTTATCCTATATCTAAAGGCCCTGGATATTTTTCTTCATTGTTTCTCTGGAGTTCTTTGAATGTGAGATAAGTGCTGTATTTTGACCAGATTCTTTTCTTTGGCATGATATGGCAGAAGTGTAGATTGCTTGTTAGTTCAGAAAAGGCAATGGAGGTCTTCATCATTAAGGTAAATCTTAATCTCAGGTGACCTATCTCTTTTTTCTTGACTCTTCAAGTGCTTGGTTTTGTTAAACTTGAAAGAAATGCCTTGCTTCGGTATGACCATGAGCATATTAGCTAATCTTCTGCAGATGTCTATTAATGCTTTACAGTAATTTCATAACTATAGCTGAATTTTGATGATATACATAAACATGCACCAAGTTTTGAACCTTATTCTTGACCATTGTCAAACTCTTCATTTTCTTATTTGTATACAGTTTAATTGGTTTTTCTTTAACGATGAAGAGAATAAGGTTTAGACCACCCTTGATGCATACTTTTCCATATAATATTTTTATGATCTTGCTTCCCCAAACCAAAGCCCCTATGTATGATAGAAAATTAAAAAATATAGCAGAAAATTCATAAAAAAATCTCATTTTTTATGCATTTTAATTTTTTGAGTTTGTTAAATTTTGTGTATTACTCAATTAATAGTTATTGGATCTTAAGGAAGCAAAAAAGAATTAAAACATGATGTTTATGAAGGACAAATAGCAATATAATAAAAAGTGGGACAGAGATTTGGCACAGGTGTGGGACAGAAGATCCGTTGCGCCCTATGTCGAGGCAAAGAATAAAGAAAAGCACCCAATTCTAGTGTTTTTGTGTTTTAAGAATTCAAAGTGATACTAATTTAAATACTTTGTCATGAAGATGCTTTGGAAGTTTGATCAAGCAAAGAATCAATCTGGCGTCTGCTTAGTGTTATGTATTCGAGGTGATCAAACCTATGCTACCTACGCCAATATTTCCTCTGGCAATAAATTTTTAGCTACCGAAAAAAGGGAAAAAAAACTCCTTCCTTCCACTCTACCACATACCAAAGAGAGGACAATGGCTGACGCACTGGTTGCTGCTAGCATACAGATTGTCTTGGAAAAGTTAGTTTCTGCCACCACTGATGTGATTGGTGTGGCTTTTGGAGGATTCAAGGAGGAGTTGGAGAAGCTAAAAGGATCTGTTGCCATGATCCAAGCTGTCATGGCTGATGCTGAGAAGAAGCAAGTGCAGAACCAGGACGTGCAACTATGGTTGAAGAGGCTTGAAGGAGTGGCTTTTGATGCTGATAATCTGTTGGATGAGATCAACTATGAATTTCTTCGTCGTAGGATGGAGACTCAAAATCGTCTCAAGCAAAAGGTATGCCTTTTCTTCTCCACCTCCTGTACTTTTGCTTTTCGTTGGAGAATGGCTTCTAAGGTCAAGAATCTCAACATGAAGTTGAAATCTATCAATCAAGAAGCTGTTGGTTTTGGGCTTAGTAGGTCCCAAATGGGAGGTGGTGCATATGTATCTCCCTCCCTGCTATGACTATGAGTCGGGAGACTGACTCCATAGCTCGTCAAAATGTAGTTGGAAGAGCCACCGATGCATCCAACATAGTTGGAACATTGTTGAGCTCGTCTGCAAAAGTTGTCTCTGTTATTCCCATAACAGGCCTGGGGGGTTGGGCAAAACAACTTTGGCTCAGTTAGTCTATAATGATCCAGAAATCAATAGGCAGTTCGATAAAAAGATCTGGGTTTGTGTGTCTCGTAATTTTGAAGTTACGAGGCTTTTCAAACTGATCCTAGAATCATTAACAAAGAGAAAAGCCGATGTCGAAAGCAGGGAGCCTATAGTTCAAGAAGTTCGAAGAGAAATTGAAGGAAAAAGATATCTTCTGGTACTTGATGATGTATGGAATGAGAGATCTGAGCTGTGGGAGGATTTCATTCATTCTTTGGTTGGAATTAGCACTACAAATGGAAATTGGATTCTTGTAACAACTCGTAATATAGAAGTGGCCACACGTGTGGCTACACATCCTCCATATTCATTGAGTAAATTAGGAGATGATGATTGTTGGTCGATTGTGAAAGAGAAAGTGTTTCCAAGTGGAGAAGTACCAAAAGAATTGGAAGCACTAAAGAGTAGAATAATAAAAAGATGTCAAGGTCTACCTCTTGCTGCGACTGTAATTGGAGGTTTGTTACGTTTCAAGAGGAAAGAGGAGTGGCTAGCTATTTTGGAGAGTGGGTTTGCGCGTTTGGGTGGGGAAGAAAGTAGTGTGATGCAACTTCTTAAGTTGAGCTTTGACCATTTGCCAAGTGCGTCCATCAAAAAGTGTTTTGCATACTGCTCAATCGCTGGCAAAGGTTCTGTCATGAGTAGGCAGAAGCTAACCTTGCTCTGGATGGCAGAAGGTTTTCTGCAACCAAGATTTAATGAGGTATTGGAGGACATAGGCAAGGAGCACTTCGACATTTTATTGCAAAGCTCCTTGTTTGAAGAGGTAGCAATGTTCGGCCCCTTTTATCATATAGGCGATAGAAACTGTACAATGCATGATTTTGTGCATGACCTTGCACAATCAGTATTGAGATCTGACAGCATCACCGATGAGAATTGCCGCTACCTATTGCTGCCTTCATTTGATGGAGAAACGCAAGAAAACTTGAAAAGCAGATCAAGTTCACTCCGGACTTTACTTGGGAACGGGAATATAGAGTCTGGAGAGGTATTCTTGAAATTAAAGTACTTGCGTGTTCTCCAGTTGCCTCTTGTGACTAGTCAGGAGCTGCCAACCTCAATTAGCAAGCTAATCCATTTACGATTTCTTGACCTATCACACTCAAGGTTCAAAGCTTTGCCAGAGTCCATTTGCAAGCTATATAATTTGCAGACACTGGTATTGAGCAACCACTTTAACCCTACAATCTTGAAGGAGCTTCCTGATGGGATGAGAAACTTGATCAACTTGAGACATCTTTTTTTTTTCACTCCTGATAGCAAATTTAGAATGCCAAAAGGGATGGGACAATTAACTTGTCTTCAAACATTACAATTCTTCAACATAGGCAAGGAGGAAGGTTGCAAAATTGAGGAGGTAGGATGCTTAAAAAACCTCAGAGGCCAAATTCTAATACGCAACCTCGAATTTGTAAATGCTAAAAGAGAAGCACACCAGGAAGATTTGTTGAGTAAGCCAAATTTGAGTGATTTGGCATTTGAGTGGGGTAGCGGTCGAGAAGGAGACTACAATGATGAAGATGTGTTGGAAGGTCTCCTGCCTCACCCAAATTTGCAATCTTTATATGTGAAAAATTATATGGGGAGCCAATTTCCACGTTGGTTGATGAATATGAGCATAGCAAAGTACAATATGTATGGCTCCTTAAGAAGACTTGACAGATTGGTAAAGCTGGTATTAGTAGACTGCAAAATGTGCGAAGACGCCCCTGCCCTTGGAAGGTTGCCTTCTCTTGAATTTCTCGCCTTGGACGTTCTCCTGTCTAGATAACATGCCTTGGACGTTCCTTCTATGACATGGACGATCGCCGTGCATCAAGAAACAACAGCAGCAGTGAAGTGTCAAACACATTGTTTCCAGCTCTTAAAAGTCTCGTACTATCAAAGATGCCAAATCTGAGAGAATGGATGGATGCACAAGCTGAGTCAAGAAGAGAGAGTAATGAAGATGTTAAAGTGTTTCCCATTCTTGAGGATTTGACAATTAAGAAGTGCTACCGCCTGGTCAACGCTCCAAGCAATTTTCCAAGTCTGAAGAGTTTGAAAATTCAGAAGATTGACAAGCTTCAGCCAGTGAAAAAGATTTGCAGCAATGCAACCAACCTCTCAGCTGTCTGGATCAAAGGGATGGCAGATCTCACTCATGTTCAAGATGTTTTGAATGGCTTGAACCTTCAGGCACTGATACTAGAAAAATGCCCCGAATTAGTTGACATACATGGCGGTCTCCATCAATTACAGAATTTGGATTCTTTGGTCATCGGGGTTGCCATAATTTGGAGACAATTCCAATTCCTAGTGGACAAAAAGGCCTGACCTCCCTCAAAGATTTGAGAATCGGTTATTGCAACGGGTTAACTAGTCTACCAGTTGAAATGCTGGAGGCTCGTTCATCTCTATTGTCTCTGACGGTGTGTAAGTGCCCCAACCTTGTCTCCTTTCCAATTGATTTGCGGCAAATGCCGTCTCTTGTTTCATTAGCATTGTTCGGGTGTCCAAAGCTGACCACTATTCCTAAAGGACTAGATCAGGTTTCCAGCTTGAGTATGTTGCATGTTGGTCCCTTCTTAGATTCCCACACGGAGAATGAATGGTTATCAGCATTGGCTTCCTCTTCTGTTCAGAGACTATCATTGGTTGGTCAGCCTCAATCAGACTCTCTGCCCGTACAGCTTCAATACCTTACTAGCCTGACAGCACTAGGTCTACATGGTTTTGGAGTGGAAGTTTTACCAGACTGGTTGGCGAATCTTGCATCCCTTGAGGAACTACGGCTAGATGGTTGTGAAAAGCTTCAGCATTTACCTTCCACTGCTGCCATGAGGCGCCTCACCAAATTAAAATTCCTGGGAAGTTTTGGTTGTTCTCTCCTAGAGAAAAATTTCACTCCTGGCGCTACATCCGAGTGGCCCAAGATTTTTAATATTTCCCACATTCAATTTGAGGACAAACCTATTGGGGCTTACTGAAATTTCATTCTGTCTGGTAAGATTCTACTATCTGATGCATTTTCTTATCATTCCCATAATTGCTAATTTGGGTATATCTTTGCTTTTTATTCCCCAAAAAAATGATTCTCTTCTCTTCTCCTTGAACATTCTCTCTCGTTTTCTTTTCACTTTCCATTTGTTGTGCATAAGTATTTGTCTGTTTGAATATTGGTACTGACAACTTTCTTAATTGGCCAGACAAATTTGAACTGTAAGCATTGCCATGACTACTTGGAAAATGTCATGTCAACTATTCCAAAGGGTTGCAGTAAACCACTGCTCCCATTTATGGTTAAAAGGAATACATCTTCAGCAGCCACAATTGCTTCTATTTCATTGTCTTTCGAATAGGACTATATTTCAATTGTACGAACCAAGCAGAGCAAAACAGCAAGCTCTGGTTAATTGAGTGAGCACTGCAAAGTGACATACAAGTGTGAAGACTCGTACTTTGTCTAGTCAGTGTATTGTGCGGATAAAAATACTCTCTGTGTTGGTCATATACTGTATTCAATAATAATATTTGCAGTTGTATTGTCTGTCGAAGTATAATAAAGTGCTCAAACTTGAGTTGTACTCGCTCTAATGTCTCTTCTCTTCATTTCAACCAATGTCTACCATTTCTGCTTTCCTGCTATAAGTACTTTTTGAGCTTGATACAAAGTGTGGGATTCTTTTGACCCTTACCATGTTTTTCTTAATTTCCTTCTCAGAAAGATTCATGAAAACAGCAGATGTTGCTTGATTTCCAACCAGCAGATCGCTGCATGCAAGTTCCTAGCTTGTTATTTCTTCTTGTTCTTGTGCTTTTCTGTTCATGAATGAATTATTTGTCTTTTTTTTTTTTTTTTGAACAATGAATTATTTGTCTTTTAAAGTAGCTGTGCAGGAAAGATGCACCTCTCGGAGCAGCCCCAACACTACAGATTTCATACTGCAAGTCTTAGCAGCTATTCATTCTAGATATGTGCATTTCCTGAGTTCTATCCTATAAGCTCCCAAACTATTATTTTCTCTTATAACTTGATTCTTGTAAATGATATTTAAGGATATTTTTGAAAACTCACATGCGTTTTTGAATGTTTATCTGCAATCCTTCCTAGCTATCCAGTATAATTTGCTTTGCCCCCCCCCCCACACACACACACAGAGTAAGAGACCACAAGGGGTTTCTGGTGGCTGGAAAGTTTTCTTGAGCCACTCTCAACATTTCATCACAATTTGTTTGCTGCAGATAATGATAAGAACACATAATTGTCCTTGAATTTTCATAGTGCAGGTGCAATTTTCTTTCGTTCCCCTTCAATCAATTAAAGTATGATGAACAATTGCATTAATGAAATGATTGTTATCTTTCTGAAACCAATTATTAACTTGTTTGTTTGCTGTTCTAGACTGAATGTTTTGATAGCTAAAAATCAGCTCACTCTGTTCAAATATGGCAAATACTTTACAAATTCGACTTCTTTTGGTTTTACATAGTGTATTGCTTGCGGTGGGTACTGCCCATTGTTGTTTTGGACTATAATAAACCAGATTTAGCTCCTGGAAAGTTTAGACTTAAAACAGCAGTTGAATGGTCAATTCTGCATTTGAGCATAGGAAACAAACATTGAGAAGTGCAAAGTCCCCATCCACAGTACATGTAACATACCAGAAACAATACAATACCCTGAATTGGCTTTTCTTCAAAAAGTAAAATTGGTTTCACATCGAAATTATTGTCTCTGATCTTTTAAATGCTTTAATTTGGAAAAAAAAAAAAAAATAGGAGCAGTACAGAGGTAACTCTAGTTTCCCTCCTTTTCTTCTTCTTCCCTGGTTGAGGAGTCCTATTTGAATTTGTGCCACAAACATTGAAATTTTAGTTGCAGCAAATTCACTAATCCAAAGGGAATCTTCATCCAGGACTCTCTAGGCCAGATTTCTAGGAAATTGTAATTATTGAACTAATTTGTAATGCTTAAATACCCTATAGTGTCCTAGCCAAGAAGATGTCATTGTTTTCTACCTCTGGACTGTTTGCTGCAGTTTTAGAATCTTTTAACTATCCATCTATCAATGGCAGACCTCTGAGGTCCTTATAGAATTGGCGGAAGACATTATACTGTTGAATTCAAAGCCAAGCCTCAATTGATGACTTTTTCAAGCCAAAATTGAGGACTTTGAATTCTTTGGCCTAAGTTTCTAAATCCCACATCGGTTAAGTTTAACATTTGAGAGGTTGTTTGAGAACTATAAATAGCTCTCAAACAAACCAATTCAAGTACACCAAGCAAGAGCCAATAACTTGCTTTCTTCTCTCTCTTTGTAATATTTCTTCTAGTGAAATATTAAATTGTCGGTAGTGTCCGAGGACGTAGGCAAATTAGCCGAACCTCGTTAAATTCTGGTGTTCTATTTTATTGTCTATTTAGTAGCTATATTTGTAGGTATATTTGTAGTGAGTTATTGTGCAATTAAGTGCATATATAGGTGATTCTGTCTAGGAAATTGGTACTTAAGCAGGCCAGTGTGCCTCACCAAATATTTCCTGGGAATTACCATTTTGCAATTTTAGGTACAATAATTTACTCGTTATACCTTAACTTTGGTAGGGCTTCCGCAACAATTGGTATCAGAGCTCGAGGTTTCTTAGTATGCTCTGTGGTTGCAGCATGGTCTGATCTTCCACATCAGAAAAGATTTCTTGGGCTATTGTTACTCTACATTTAGGAGCTACTAAATATAATTTGTAGAGATGGCCGAAAGTAGATCTTCATCTACAATGCAAGCATCAACAAGCTCGTCATTATCTATTATGGCGAGAAATGTTATGACGAATACAAAATTAAATGTGGAGACATTTGATGGTACCGGTCATTTCGGCATGTGGCAAAGTGAGATTCTAGACGCGCTCTTTAATCAAGGTCTAGACATTGCCATCGAAAAAGAGAAACCAGAAGAGATTGAAGAGAAGGAATGGAGGACGCTAAATCGTTTAGCGTGTGGTACAATTCGATCGTGTCTTTCAAGGGAACAAAAATATGTGTTCTCAAAAGAAACCTCTGCAAATAAATTATGGACTGGATTGGAGGAGAAGTTCTTGAAGAAAAATTGTCAGAACAGGCTCAACATGAAGAAGCGTTTATTTCGCTTCACTTATGTTCCTGGCACAACTCTAAGTGATCACATCACTAATTTCAATCAGTTAATCACTGATCTGATGAATTTAGATGTGACATTTGAAGACGAAGATTTGGCTCTCATGTTGTTGGGATCTCTTCCTGAGGAGTTTGAGCATCTTGAAACAACTCTACTCCATGGGAAAGCTGAGGTGTCCCTCAGTGAAGTTAGCTCTGCCCTGTACAGCTATGAGCTCAGAAGAAAAGACAAGCAAAATAGCAGAGATGGAGCAGCAGAAGCTCTGGTAACTAGAGGACGCTCACAAAACCAGAGAAAGGGGACGAGAAGAAGATCCAAGTCAAGAGCCAGACTAAGTAAAGATGAGTGTGCCTTTTGCAGAGAGAAAGGGCACTGGAAGAAGGACTGTCCAAAACTGAAGGGTAGACCTGACAAAGAAAAAGCTGTTGCGGATTCAAATGTATCTGAGTGCATTGATCAAAACTCAGATTTTTCATTAGCTGTCATGCCTACTGGTCATTCTAGTACATGGCTATTGGACTCAGGTTGTAGCCATCATATGACGTCCAATAGAGAATGGTTCTTTGATTTCAAGGAAAAAGAAGGTGGAGTCGTCTACACGGCAGATGAGACCACATTAGCAACAAATGGGGTTGGTTCAATTCGGCTGAGGAATCAGGATGGATCAATTAAGATTCTAACTGATGTCCGATATGTGCCAGAATTGAAAAAGAACCTCATTTCTGTGGGAGTACTAGAATCAATGGGCTACAAGGTGTCGGCATATAATGGAGTGATGAAAATCATTTCAGGTGCATTGGTGCTGGTGAAAGGAATCCGAAAAAATAATAACTTGTATTACTATCAAGGTAATGCAGTTGTTGGAGTAGCGGCCGTGGCTTCCAGTGATGATCGAGAATTGAAAGTAACCAGATTATGGCATATGCGCTTAGGGCATGCCGGAGAAAAATCTTTGAATCTTCTGATGAATCAAGGACTATTAAAAGGAGCCAGTGTTTGCAAGTTAGATTTTTGCGAGCATTGTGTCAAAGGAAAGCAGACAAGGGTAAAATTTGGCACTGCAATTCACGATACCAAGGGTATTTTGGATTATGTGCACTCTGATGTGTGGGGACCTTCCAAAACAACTTCTTTGGGAGGCAAGAATTATTTTGTTACCTTTGTCGATGACTTCTCTCGAAGAGTATGGGTGTATACTATGAAGGCGAAAAGTGAAGTATTGGGAATTTTCATCAAGTGGAAAAAGATGGTGGAAACTCAAACAGAAAGAAAGATCAAACGCCTTCGAACAGACAACGGAGGTGAATACACTAGTGATCCGTTCATGGAGGTCTGTGAAAATGAAGGCATTGTTCGGCACTTCACAGTCAGAGATACACCACAGCAAAACGGGGTGGCAGAGCGTATGAACCGGACATTGGTGGAGAAAGTTCGGTGTATGTTGTCCAATGCTGAGTTGGGCAGACAATTTTGGGCTGAGGCTTTAGCATATGCAAATCACCTCGTTAATCGCTTACCATCAACTGCTATTGGCGGCAAAACGCCATTAGAGAAATGGTCGGGAAAACCTGCTACAGATTATGATTCCTTACATGTGTTTGGTTCTACTGCATATTATCATGTTAAAGAATCAAAGTTGGATCCAAGGGCGAAGAAGGCGCTCTTTATGGGGATCACAACAGGCATTAAAGGTTATCGCCTTTGGTGTCCCGAAACGAAAAAGATAGTTTTCAGCAGGGATGTCACCTTTGATGAATCTACCATGTTAACAAAGGTAGATGTACAGCAGAATGATAGTACTCCCCAACAGGTGGAGAGCACTCCTAAGCAGATGGAGTTTGAAAGAAGCATTATCAGACCAGCAGTGGATATCGGAGTAGATGAAAGGACTCCTATGGTAGAAGAAGAATCAACTGAAGAAAATGTTCCAGTTGAAGAACTTTCACAGCAACATGAATCAATTGCAACCAGTAGGCCAAAGAGGACAATCAGAAAACCTGCTCGTTTTGCTGATATAGTGGCCTATGCATCCCCAACCATAAATGTTGATATTCCTGCCACTTTCAATGAAGCAGCTCAAAGTTCGGATAAAGAAAAGTGGAGGATTGCAATGGATGAAGAAGTACATTCCCTTCATAAGAATCAAACATGGAGGCTAACCAGTCTTCCAAAGGGAAAGAAGGCAATCGGATGCAAGTGGGTATATGCAAAGAAGGAAGGATTTCCTGACAAGTCTGGTGTTCGCTACAAAGCAAGATTGGTGGCTAAAGGCTACGCTCAGAAGGAGGGAATTGATTACAACGAAGTGTTTTCTCCAGTCGTGAAACATTCCTCCATCAGAATTTTATTGGCTTTGGTAGCACAATTGGATCTGGAACTTGTCCAATTAGATGTAAAAACTGCGTTTTTACATGGTGACTTGGAAGAGGAAATCTACATGACTCAGCCAGAAGGATTCAAAGTTGCTGGTAAAGAAAAGATGGTATGCAAGCTTGACAAATCGTTGTATGGATTGAAGCAGTCTCCAAGACAGTGGTATAAGCGATTTGACAAGTTTATGATGGGGCAAAGGTACACAAGAAGCAAATATGATGATTGTGTATATTTGCGCAAGCTACGAGATGGATCCTACATATATCTTCTTCTTTATGTTGATGAT